TGATGCCAAACACCTAGGAGATATCCTTGTTTCCTCACTTTCTCTAGCTCCCTACAGCCAGTCATTCCATCAGCAATTCCTGTCAGCTCTGTCGTCAAGAAATGTCCTGAATTGTCTCTTCTCTCGAGCACCCTATTCCAGGCCACCATCATCTCTTGCCTGGGCCGATGCATTAAGTTTCTAATGTAGCCTGTTGCTTCCTCTCTTGCTCCCTCTTACAGTTCATTTGCCACATGCATGACAGCCAAATTAAGCCTTTAGAAATGTACACTAGTTGTATATCTCTTGAGCTTAAAACTCCAACAGCTTCCCCTCCCACTTAGAGTAAAATCCAAACTCCAAGCCCTGAATAAGCTAGCCCCGCCTTTCTCTCCCTTAGAACATTCCAGTCATACTTTCTTTCTGTTCTTGAACATGCCAAGTTCATTCCCACCATAGGGCCTTTTCAGGACCATTTGCTTTGTCTGAAACCCTTTCTGTCATATCTTTGCATGACTGATTCTTCTTGAGTTTAGGTCTCAGCCTAAGTGTCACCTCTGGAGGTCTTCCTCACCACCCAATCTAAATGAGCCTCCAGGTCACTCAGTCCCTTCACCCTGTTTTATTTTTAGTATAGCCTTTATCACTACCTGCTAGTCTCTTGTTGGTTGGTTTGTTGTCTGTCTCCTTCCACTAGAATGTTAGGTCTGTAACAGACAGGGATCTTTTCTATCTGGTCACCAAGATATCCCCAATGACTTGTCATAGCACATAGTAGATACTCAGTGATGTTAAATGAATGATTGATTGCGTGAATGAGTGAATGAAGGGATAAAGGAGCTTTGTTTTTTTCTCAACTACTTGCCCTCTTCCCAGGTAAACTCACTATGTTTGGTCTTTGGCTTTCAGACTGGTCAAGCCCGGCATTCCAGCAGCTGTCTGGAATAACACAGACCTGTGCCACCAAATCCCTGGGAATGGTATGGAAAATGAGAGGGGGTACCTGGAAGGAAACAGGGCTCTGCTTCTAGGGTGGCATCTGAAGATTTATTGGGCTGACAGCCATGCCCTCTGGGGAGGATTCCAGAGTTGAGTCTGGCCCCTCTCTGTGGGCTCTGCAGGGCTGCCTGGTCGAGGGGTCCTCTCTGCCTTTTTGAGAATGGTAGCAGCTTGTATTTGGGTATCCCTTCGCCTCTCAGCCTCTTATTTCCTACCTGGGGTGATAGTTTTTGTTTTTCCCTTGTGAAGGTGACCTTGTCATTGGCCACAGGGAGAACAAATTCCAAGTGAGGCCTTGCCCACCCCATGATTCTGCGTATAAAATAACACTCCTCTTTTTTAGGACAAGGTGGCTTACTTCTCCTACCCATTCACATTTGAGGCCTCCTTCCTCCACGAGGATGAATCTTCTGGTGAGTAGCTCAGCAGTTGATCCTAGGCCTTCAGTCTCCTCACGCAGTGCCCTCTCTTGGTGAAGGCCTCCTGTGACCTGGCTTCTTCTCTCCCTTGCTCCCAGATGCTCTCCCAGAGTGGCCTGTGCTCTACTGTGAGGTCCTCTCACTGGACTTCTGGCAGAGGTATCGTGTGGAAGGCTATGGGGCTGTGATGCTGCCTGCCACCCCAGGTGACTTCTTGTCCCTGCCCTTCACGTGGCTCATGTGCCCTGGCTCCTAGGAACAAGACTAACGTTTCCAAAAGTTTCAACCACTTCCAGTGAGAAGTCAGGATAATTAGGAGTTAGAAGCATTTAACTTACAAGATTCCTTGCTCCTTTTGAGGGATTTTTCCCCCTCCATTAGAGACAGCTGAGTGTGAAGTTAAGCAGCCTGAGCGTCTCCAGTATTGGCTCCATGCTCCTCTGATTTGACTTGTGGCTCTGAGGGAGAAGCTGCGTGGCAAAATGGGCTCTCAGCATATGTGCATTCAATGAATCAGTGTTCGTTTTGAAATAATAGCCATTATTTTCTGTTGTGTGCCAGGCGTTGTGCTAAGTGCTTCTCATTTAATTCTCCCACCCACTAGGTGTTGTTATTTCCATTTTATTAGATGAGGAGAATGAGGCTCAGAGAAGTTAAAAAACTTGTCCTGGGTACATAGGTAATAACTGGCGGCACTGAGATTTGGATTTCTGTCCGATTGATTTCCAAACGGGTGCCCTAAACTACCGTGATAACCTTCACCAGAGGTCAGGTCGTCAGCAGACTAGGTGTTTTAGTGGTGGCTGGGACTGTGTCATCACTGGAGAGTCAGTGAGGGACCACATGCCCTTTCTGGCCCTGACCCCATTCTCCTCTTCCTGCACAGGCTCACACACCCTGACAGTCTCCACGTGGAGACCCATGGAGCTTGGCACGGTGGCTGAGCTGAAGAGGTTTTTCATTGGCGGTTCTCTAGAACTGGAGGACCTCTCATACGTGCGGATACCAGGAACCTTCAAGGTGACTTTTGTCTCTGCAGAGACTTCATGCTGGGAACTTACGTTCGTATCTCTTCTAGGGAAGGTGGGATCTGAGTTAAGGTCCCTTGTTCATTGCTTTGTTGTTACTTAGCCCCTTCCTTCCTGTGGCTTAAGCTGGAAGTCATGGCCACATCCTGAACTAGGTACAAATATCTACTCTACTATCCTAGGAGATCTCTGGAAAATAATATACTTAGAGATTTCCCCTAGTCTCTGTCAGAATAACTGGTCCCTCCTTCCAGCCCATCACTGAGGTCTCAGTCGTCAGAGATGAGGAGGACTGGCAGCTTGTAAGACTGCTTATTCTCAAATGAGATTGGAATGTTCCCTGATTTACAGTTGGGAGCCCAACGTTAGCCCTGAGGTGATGAAGTCTGGGTGCTGGAATGTGGTTTCCCCAAGACAACTATTCTCCCCAAGAATGGGAGGAGGCCAGCATGGTGCCTGGGGTCTAGAAACCACAGAAACCTGATGCTATCTAACTGTGTGCTACAGGGGAAGCGTCTGAGCCGCTTTGGACTCCGCACCGAGACCACAGGCAGTGTCACCTTCCGTTTGCACTGTCTGCAGCAGTCCAGGTGAGTCACCCTGCCCTCTTCCTTGGGGCTCCTTATCCCTGAAGGCTGGAGAGCAGCTGTGGCTGTGTGGTGGACTCCCCTGCAGGGCCTTCATGGAGTCGAGTTCCCTCCGGAAAAGGATGCGGAGTGTGTTGGACCGTCTGGAAGGATTCAGCCAGCAGAGTTCTATTCACAATGTGCTGGGTAGGTTCCCCTCTCTCCCAACCTGGCCATCCAGGGTCAGCATGGGCCGTGTTCCTCCCCACACCAGTAGCTGACTACTGTATTTGCTTCCCTTGCAGAGGCCTTCCGTCGAGCCCGGCGCCGCATGCAGGAGGCCCGAGAAAGCCTTCCCCAGGACCTAGTGAGCCCTTCGGGAACCATGGTCTCCTAGCTCACTGCAGCCCTGGCCCCCTGTGCAAGAGGACAAGTGATATCTAAGGCCGGTGCCCCCCTGCCCCATCATCTTTCTTATTAGAGACCACATTGACCTGCTAAGAAAGTCCCAGCCTGGCCCCTCTGCCTAGTTTTCAGCAGGGTCTTCTCCCTGCCAGGTGGCAATAAAGCCGGAGACCCCGTAACCCCCAGATGGTCTCCCGCTTCATGTTTCAGCTACTGCAAGTGGGCATCACGAGGTAGACTTTTTGGTTTGAGACGAGTTTGGGGTAACCCCATAGTTAGTTCTGTCCTTGACACAGCCTCTTTTCTGGCTCGTCTCAGTCTCAGTAGCAGAGGGCTGCAGGTGCCTCCTGATCCACAACCATTTTTTACAACTGGAGGTTCAAGAAAGAAGAAGGAAGGCGAGAGAGATCTTAAATTCCTGGCCCGGGAGTCTCGGCATCCTCTTTCCAAGGGTAGCCTCATCCTCCTGCTTGGGGCTTGTTGCGTTTGAGATACAACTTATTTCTGGAGTAAATGAAGGCTGAAGGTAGTGCCCAGTCCTTTCTGCTAGCTCGGTGGTATCTTTTTATTGTGTTTTTTGTACATAAAAACTTTTTATGCTGACTGATGTTCTGTCGGCTGTTTGTCTGCTCAGCTCACTGTCATGGCCGAGGTATCCTCAATGTTGGGGCCCTTAATGCCACTGCTCATCCCCTTTTCTGCCTTTTCCTACTCCAGAGTGTTCTTTTGATGCTCTTAGCTCAGCCACCAGGAGAGGCTTAGAGGTTAGTGCCAGCTGTGTCTTGTCAGCACTCCTCTTAAACATCTGGAGCAAAGCATGGGACTGAGGTCACGCCCTCCCCAGACCAGTGCGAAATCCAGCTCCTGCCCTTAGCAGTGCTTTATTGGTAGAAGCAGAGCATAATTCCTAGCCTGCAGGCTCCAGAGAAAGATTGTGGGGTGGCTAGAGGCTGGGACTGTGTGGCCTCCCAGTCATGGGCAGGGGCTGGGAACGAGCTGGGAAATAGAAGAAAGGGGCTGGAAACCCTCCAGCTGACTCTTCTTGCCTGGGCCTCAAGACCTCGTTGCTTGGTTCACAAGTCCTTACACCTGGACCCGATGCATGACCTAATACCTAAGAGGCTCCCAAGGCAGGAGGGTTCGTTCCTGCTGGGAGCCCCAGCTGTCACTCCCAGCCCAAGAACCAGCTCTGAGCTGTGGCCAGCAAAAGCATCAGCACAGTACGGGGGAGAAGGTAGCCTTGTGGTCTTCCACAGGTTCCCTGTCTCCAAGGTTGGAGGCTTGGCATGGACTCCTGTGGAAGCAGCAAAAGTGGGCAATGAGGAACTGGTCAGGAAATGGAGTTGTTTTAGGGTGTTGATGACTAAGCTGAGGTTTGACACTTCCTAATCATCCCCCAAAGTCCTAGGCCCTGGAATTAACTGTCAGCCCAGAAGCTGGCATACTGGGAAGCCACTAGGAGAGAGTACCCTGTCCCTAGTGACAAATTCTGTTGTCTCTGCTTAGAGGCCTAGGAGGACTCAGCCATCCCCTGCAGGGAAGGATGTGAGGGCCTGACCCAGCCTGGGGCTCTCGGAGGGGGGCCTCCCTTACCTGCAGAAGCCTCATTTGCCTCACCAGGCTGACAGGTTCAACCTAGGGATGCGGCTGCAGCTCACAAAGCCCCAGGGGTAGGTGTTGGCCGTGAAGATGTGCCTCGAAACGGTGGTGATCCCGGTGTTGTCACACACAATTCAAGACAAGGAAGCCTGTCTCAGGGCCCTGCACTATCTCTTGATGAAAACACCCCATTTCTGCCACCAGAACCTACCAAGACAGTCGAGATTTGTGGGTGAAAATTGAGGAATTAACATATAAGGAGCACCTGTTGTGTGCCAGGTACTTTACATATATTATGTCGTTCAGTTCTCCAAATGCCTGCAAAATAGGTATTATTCCCATTTTATAAATGAATAAACAGGTTCAGGGATCAAGTAAATTGCCCAGTTTTAAATGCAAAGTAATTTAAGTGGCCAGGGCTGGATTTGAACCCAGATTAATGCCAAATCCAATAAGGAGTCAGGTCTTAAACCACAAACTTATCGGAGGGAAACCAAATTCAGACCATCCTGCCATGTTCCTGGGATCTGCTAGCCTGGACCAGTGAGGCTGACAAGTCTGTCTCCTAGGTTAAAGGTGCCTTCAGCTCCGGCAATATCAGTTTTACCTGGGTCAGTAGTCTTTCTCCCTCTGACCGAGCTCTCCAGGGAGGAGCCTCCTGGTCTCAGATCCTGTGAACTTGGAAGAGGTGAGGCTAAAAAGAGTACCTTCCCCCATTGTTGAGTCTTGAAATGCTAGTGCTTTTCTGCCCTGCCTCTGGGGCTGGTCTCTTTAGGGTAGAGTCACTTACCTGTCTCCATTTTGGGCTCTTGTGAACTGGTTCTCAAAAAGACAAGCCAGAAGAGGCCCCACTCAGGCCCCTGGCATAGCCCCAATCTGCGATAGCCCCAAACCAGATGTCAGTGTTGTCAGGTGTTCCATACGGATTCACGAACTTCCTTGCCAAATCCTGGTTTTTTAGCACCCGGCTAAGCTGAGCCAGATTCGGGGGCTGGGAGAGCCCACAGAAGTGCCTCCAAGCATTGTACCCTGTAGCGCAAGGGGCCGAAGCGGTTTCAGTCTTTCCCTGTTGACTGCCCATTAGCTTCTGCTTCTCTCCATAATTTCTCCTGAGAGAGCTCTGTGGTCAAGCAATACTGGGCAGAACAAGATCCCTGCTGGCAGAAGAGGCCCTGAACCTTCCAAAGACCAAACCACTGCCCTCTACTTTTCATTGTGAGCAGACAAGCATGCTTTGTGTGCATCAAACTGAGAGTGTGTCCTAATGTAAAAAGCTGTTGTAACCTGACACTCATAACCACAATGATATTATTATTGGCCTTATGTGCATTAATTAGGGACAAATACGACGGTACCCAAAACATAAAAGACTCTCAGTGGGTTTGTAGAATGAATGAATGAATGAATGAATAAATGAGTGAACAAACCAAGAAATGAAGAGCGTGAGTAAAGTTTACTACTCAGAAAAGGACCATATGCTGTCTGGTTCTCTTTATATGAAAGGTCCAGAATAGGCCAATGTGTAGAGATAGAAAGTAGATTAGTGCTTGTCAGGGGCTGGGGAGAGGATGGAAAATGATTGTTATTATGAGGTTTCTTTTGTGAGTGATGAAAATGTTCTGATATTAGATATGGTAATCAATGCACAACTCTCAATATACTAAAATCATTGAATTATATACTTCATATGGGTAAATTTATGGTATGTTAATTATATCTCAATAAAGCTGTTTAAAAATTTTTTTCACCTACTTGGAAACTTCCAAAGACTAGCCATACTGATTGATTTCTCAGCTATCAGGATCCCACACCAGCACTAAGCCATAGGATGTGGCGGGGACCATCGAGATGGGAGATAGCTTTGCCATAACCTGAAGAAACACCAGCCCAACACGGTCCATTGAACTACAACTCACAAACACCATCTCCCAGCTGAACAAAGGAAAACCATATCATGTTTTACCTTACTATGCACTGTTATGTGATTATCTCTCAGGATCCTCACAACACCTTTGTGAGGCACTTGGTAATCTCCATTTTATCAATGGATATTTGTTGAGCTTTAACAACCGTGACTTTTCCAAGATCACTCCACTATTAAGTGGAGTTCAAACCAGGTCTTCCAATTCCAAATTAAGTATTGGACTTGGGAAGTGACTGGAGGAGACTGCAAGAGCTAGTATCAGGAAAATATTTCTGGGACAGCTTGAAGGGAACAGAAACTCACTATGTGGCAACTTGGGTCGCTGGCACTCTCAGTTCTCCAGCAGGGGGCGCCCGCAGCCCCTTAGGCGTCAGGAGCACCCAAGTGGAGGGAAGGAAAGGAACTCAGGTTCTTGAGCGCCTGTGGTGTGCCTGCCAGGTGCTGTGTTAGGTGCAGTAGAAATTCCCCCCACTCAATTATACATGGCCAAAGATTAGCCAAGGCAGATGGGGCTTCAGGTTGTATTTAGACAGAGAAGTAGGAGGTGGGGAGAGGGAGAGAGGAGCAAGGCGATGGCCAAAGCCTACTCCTAACATTGTGGATTGAACAGGCAGAAGAAGGGAGAACATTTGAACTTGATTCAGATTTTGCTACTTCCTAGTTATGTGGCCTTGGGCTAATTGCTAGATGGCTCTAAGCTTATTTCCTCATAAAAATGGTTGTAACAGCTGTTTCTCAAGGTCATTGAGAGGACTAAATGAGTTAATATCCATGAAAGTTCCTAGCAAAGTGCTTAATTTTTCTTCTTTCCTGGGATTAGGTCTTTTTGTGTCCTCACCAAACAGCCAAGGCAGTCTTAATTTTACTCCACCTGCTCCCTGCCTCTCAGGCTCTTTGTCTTTCTCCACTTAGAGCCAGGAGCCAGTTCCTATATCCCTGGACCTTTAGCCCTCCTCCTTGGAACTTGCCAGGGTGGTGGGGAATGGAGCAGTTCATCTCTATCTTTTAAATCTACTGTTTTTCTCTACTTGGAAAATCCTGATCTCTTTTGTTCAGCTCCTGTGTCCAAGTCCTGGTCCTGTTGTGAACCTAAAGCTTAAAGACCCTACAGTAGATGGAGAAGATGTCACAGGACAACAAAAAGGTGGTGCCAGGGATGCTTTACTGCATCAACCTCGGCCTTGTGTGCCTCTGAACCCCAGCACATCCTGTACACAGTCCCAGTCAGAAAGGAGGTGCCAAGGGCCTTCTCTGAAACTCCCCCCCTGCCACCAGCAGCAGCAGCCCTGGTCCAAGTGAAGCCTGGGAAGCGGGGCGGGCAGCCCCCTCACCTGGGAGGCCATGGTCCCGGCTGCGTTGCATGTTAATTGCCGCCAGGTTCCAGCTCGATTCTTCTCACTTGCAGAAACAGCCGGTCCCAGAGCTTACCTAGTACCATGGAATCTTGACAGTTCAGCTTGGTGGGGGTGGCCATGAGGCCTCAGAGGATGGGGTCAGTGCCACCTGGTGGTGGGGAATATGAGCAGCACAGATTCTGCTAGCCTCTGGGAAGCCCCGTGGATCATCACATGATGCCAAGCTAGCTCAGAGCTGGACAAGACAGTCGCTTATACTCTATAAGGTTTGTATCAGGAAACAGTGGCCTGAGTGGACATGAAGGGAGTTGGAGCTGGCAGGGAAAGAAGTGACCCCCCACTTCTTAAAGAAAGAGTGGGAGGTAAGCTCTTTTCAGGCCCACAAACTGCAAGTCGGACATCCATCCCCTCCCCTTTCAGAAATCCTCTAATCTCAGAGGAGATGGGAGGCCTGTGACTGAGGGTCTTGGTAGCACCTGCCTTGCTTTCACTGTCCTGGGGAGATGATTAGCAGTGGCCTGAGCAGCAGCCTGGCCTCCTGGCACTAAGCTGGGCCCCACCCCGACTCCCATCTGCGTCTGGAAACCCTGGTCACCTTCATGCACAATTCGCCAGCTGGCAAAGAAGGTGGAACTAAGTGGGACATGCGAGTTGGGTGCTGGGCCCAATACTGGCTGTCCAAGCGGAACATGAAGGGCTGGAGCATGTTGTGGCCAAAGCGGAGGGCCAGGGTGAAGACATTGGCCACACGGGGGTCCACATTGGGGCAGTACCCCCGGTAGGGCCCCAGGGTTCTCTTGGCACGGGCCTTGCCCAGAACCAGGGGCAGAAAGTCTCAGTAGGTGATGATCTGGAAGAGAAGACACAGCAGGAACATTATCTTAGTGGCCACCGACCCCCCTCCCTTGCCTTTGGACAGACCTCTTGCTTTTCGAAGGGCTGCTCAGACATATTAATTCTTTATTGTCATCATGTCAGATGTGACAATGTTAATTTCCTATTGGCTAATGGAGGTACTGAAGCCCAGAGAGGCTGAGTGACATGGACAGGGTCACACAGTGAGTGAGTGGCAGAGTTGGGGGTACAGGTCAGATCTCAGGTACACCCACAATCTCCCAGACCTAGTTGACTTGAAGCACATCCCTGAGGATGTGTTAAGGAAGGTGGGAGTCACTCCCTCAGATGGCTTCTCATGCCAGATTGTCTTCTAGGGGATGCTGGGACCCAGGGCTCCCTACCTGGACCATGGCCCCCACAATCTTCCGAGCCTCCTGGTACAGCTTGCCCCTGCTCCACCGGGGATTCAGCCGTCTCAGCTGAGTAGCCAGCCAGTTGTGCTCTTGCATAAAGAGGGTGTGCAGGGCTGCCAGTTTGGGAGTTTCAGCTGATCGGGAGTCACCTTGAAAATCCCAAGTTCAGAGTCACCATAGTCCTTTGCAGAGAATGTCTTTCTGCTAAGGCAGAGAGAGATCTGGGGACTAGAGAGAGGTGGTGGGACTTTGCGACCCGGGCCAAGCTTCTGGCCCTCACTGGGCCTCCATCTCCTCAGCTGTGCTGTGAGGCTCCACTGACTGCCATCCTCTTCCCCAACGCAACGGGCCAGGATGGGGAGGACAGTGGGGTCTTGGATCCCGAAGTGACTGGAACAGGTTTGGGTGAGGGCGGAAAGTGTGGGGCAGCTGCTGGTCTTGGGCAGGGAAATCTTTGCCTAATGATTCTACTCTACAAAATGACCAGATCCACGGCTGGTGGAGGGACCTGGATGACTCTAGGAACCTTGACTTTGGGACTGTGAGCCCACCTGTCCCGTGAACTGCATCCATCTGCACATCCTCTACCCAGGGCTGGACCTTTCCCCAGTTTGGACTTGGTATCATGCTGCTCTCCCCAGGGAGCCCAGCAGAAAGAGAAGGAGAGTTGGGCAGAGCCTGTTCCTGTAGCAGATGTTCCCCTCAAAGCCAGGAAGGAAAGTCAAGTCCTGAAGGCGGGCCTTACACAGAGTCATTTGCTGGCTTCGAACTAAACCCTCTTGTACAAGGTCATATTTAGTCTACTTTTCAGTAGACCTCTCATGAAGGTCTGGCTGCTCTTGCCAGGAGCAAAGAAATGCACAATCCTTAGAAAAGGCGGCTGGAGGCAACTGCCCGCAAAGAAAGCAGTGGAGTCGAGTGGGAAGAGCACAGACACGGACACGACTTGAGTGCCCACTGTAGACTCTGCCACCTGAAATCTGTGCTCTGAGCACATTAGTTATTTTCCCTGAGCCTCAGTTTCTCATCTGTAAAACGAGGGTGGTGATAATGCCCTGCTTTCAGGGCTGCTGTAAGGACTAGAGATGGCACATTTAAATATCTTAAATAACCAGAAACAATGCCCATTATCATCATAACTAGCACATGGAGCAAAGGCCCCAGCAAAGTTCAAACTATGCATCCAGAGGAAGGTACCAGGTAACAGTGTCTAGTGAGGCAACAGAGAGGGGAAATAAAAACCTAAGGGAATTTAGCCCAGAGAAGAAAAGTATTTAGGTCATTAAAGAGGCTATTACTGTGTGAAAGAGAGACAGCTTCTTCTCTGAAGTTCTAGAAGCGTGAAGAAGAGCAATGGGTGGATGTGGGATGCAAATTAGAGGGAGCTTTGTAATGGTCAGCGCTGCTCCAGATGGACCAGAGCGCTGTATAGGCGTGAGCCCCTTATCACTGGGGAGTCAGGCAGCGACTGCCGGCCACACACAGGGTGTTTGCAAAGGGACTCCTTCCCACTGACGACTACCGCGGATCTGCGCTATGGCGTGTCTAATATTGAGGTCTGAAGCCGTGTACCCCCACCACATCCCACCATGGCTTCCCAACCCTAGAATCCAGGAACTGGCTGTATCTTGGGAGGACACCACCTTCCTCCCAGTCTGACCTGCCAGGAAGCAGGGGATGCGCGAGGAGCGGTTGGTGAGGAGACAGGGGTTGTCGTGCAGGGTGTTGAAGGGCAGCAGGGCCCGCCCGTTGTCATGGAACTGTTGGTTAACGGCCAGCAGCCCGAAGTAGTTGGTCCAGTGACGGAGCTGTAGGGCGAGGGAGACCTCGCTGCCGTATGCCACGCTGGCGTCCACGAAGGAGGTGAGCACGTTGAGCCGGTTTCGGACTTGGTTCTTGTTTTGAGGGCATGAGGGTGCTGAGCAGAAGAAGGGGATGCAGTCTTTCTGGTTCTTGATGCGGGGGTCATTGGGCAGGATCTGAGGTGGAAGAGGAGCCAGTGACACTGGGGCCCCTCAAGAGCAAGCTTACTCTTCTTGGTCATCCCCCAGCTGCTATGAAACCTTGCTCAAAACCTCCTCCAGGAAGCCCTCCTTGACTCACCCAGACTCACACTGCTCACCAGGTCAATCTGAGCATCCTCAGCACTTTGTATCATAGAGTCATGAAAGGTTAGAAATGGATGAGGCCTTAGATCCTCATTTTACAGATGGGGCAACTGAGGCTCAGAGAAGGGAAGTGACAAATAGTTATCGGGAGAGGAGGGATTAGAACCTAGTTCTCCTGACATTTAGGCCTCTGGACTCTCCTTTCATTCGGTTCGACAGACATTTCCTAAGCGCCTTTCTGTACTGGGTGCTTGGAGACTATGAAGGTCAATAAAACCAAGTACAGGTTGCAGGAAGCCAGTAATTCAGTGAAAACAGCCACACACATAGAGAATGTAACTCTAAATTGAGGTGCCATTTGCTATGCTCGATCTAAAAGCCAAAGCAAAAGTTGTAATAGGAAGATATGGGAAGGCTCCCCGGAGGAGGTGCCCCTGAACCAGAGCTTGAGGAACGGGTAGGTTGCAACAGGGAGGAGCCAGCCAGGGGCCCTCACGTGTCATGCCTCATGAATGTCACCTGCCTCTTAAGGGTGAGTGAATGTGTGAGGGTGTGCGTGTATGAGTGTGTGCACGTATGTCCCCCCTCTACCCCCATCAGAAGCTCTGCTCCCTGGGGTCCGTCTTTTCTTCCCTAGTGTTCCACACCATCCTTGCCTCTCAACCTGAAGGATAGCACCCTGCTCACACCGGATCCCAGGAATTGGTGACAGCTACAGGGCCCTTGGACCATCCAAGGAAGGAGAGAAGGGCAAAAACTAACAGGCCCTAAAGGCTTCCAAAAGCAGCAGCCCAGAGGCTTCCCCTGTTGGAATCAGACCCATGCGCCAAGGCCAGTCTCAATTGCTTTCCATTCGGTGAAGCCTCTGCACTGAACCTCCAGGCAGATTGCCCCACCCCCACCCCTCAAACAAACGCAGAACCAGGAGTCTATGCTGAGCTGTGCCTCTTGTCTCTACCTGATACTCCAGCATCACAGACAGCTCCTTGAGGATGGTGCTTTGGTCTTCCAGATCCCCACTCCCAGCTCTCAGCTCTGGGCGGAGGCCACACGAGGGGCCTGGGAGGTTGGCTGAGGGTACCTTGATGGGGAAGCAGGGGGGCAGCTGGGCACAGGTCTTCTCACAGTCGACGCCTGCAGTGAAGGCCACTCTGGCTGGGGACTCAGGGGAGAAGTCCAAGTCGCGGTTGACGAACTGGCCCCATTGCATGAACATGAGGGCCTGGCCCCGGTTGGAGGCCAGCCTCTCGCTGGGGAAGCGCATGATCTGGTTGGAGACAGCCCAGACCTGGTGGAGAGATAGGTCAGCATGGAACATGGGCTCCCAGACCCTGCAAGGTGTCAGGGCCAGGTCGGGCCTCGGGGGGCAGCAGGTGGCCCCTGCCGGAGTTAACACAGTCTTTCCTCCTCTCCTGCCCTCCCCTCCTCTTTCCTACTTTGTCCCGCCTCCTGTGGCTGTCATTCCTAGAAAGATGGTCTCTGGCCTGGCTCCTGAGGATCCCAGGAGTAAAAAGAAGGAGAGGGGCCCGGCTGGCTGGTTGAAACCCCACCAGCTCTTCCAGAGAGGTAAGTAGATCAAATGGATAGATCAATTCATAGACTAATGGGTAATTAGATGATAGAACTGATTGACAGATGCATGGACTGGTTGCTAGGTGGTGGATAATAAATACAGAGAGAATTGGATAGATAAATGGAAGGATCAATGGGAGAAAAATTAATAAATAGATGTTGATAGATGGGTAGACGATAGATTGTTATATTGACATATGAATAGAAAATTGATAAGGTGATAAATGTGAAATCATTTAGATCAGTAGACATAGCTAGATGAAGGTGTATAGCTCTTTATATTTAGATATTTTGACACTAATTCTTTCAGAAAAAACAATACTGCAATGGCTAGCATTAATAGATCACATCCAATATGAATGGTTATAGCAAGGACTTTATTTAATATTCACACCAGCAATATGAGGTAGGTTTTACCACCATTTTACAGATGAAGGGACTGAGACTCAGCTATATTACTTGCCCAAATTCACCCAGCCGGCCAGTGGTAGAGCCTGGATTCGAGCCCTGTCTGGCTAACTCTGGGCTGTGCTTTGACTCTCCATGTTTAGAAGAGATGGAGCATCCTCCAGACCCTCAGCCCCGACTCACAAGAGGGAGGCGGAAGCCATTGTGCTTCTTGCTGGGGGTCCAGCTGAAGGGGAGCAACAGCCTGTCCTCATACTCGGCTGGCAGCCAGAGAACCAGGGCCTGGTTGGAGGCCCCCAGCCAGGGTCTCCTCCTACAGCAATAGGTGGGCTCAGGTCAGATGGGTTTCAGGCCTGGAGACCACTCAGCATGTAGGGAGGGGGTGGATGAGGGAAGGGAGGCACACCCCATCGGGTGCAGCCCCTGGCACCCACTTGTTGTTGCATCCCCCGGTGATAGTGCAATACTTGTCACTGCACTTCTCGGCCTGGTGCAGGAGAGCACAGCCACTGGCCTGGGACAGCAGTCGCAGCTGGGGTTCCATTAGCACATCTAGCGGTGGGGCAGGTGGGCAGGGTCCTGGATCCAGGGTCCTTCCCTAGCTGGTCTGTTCAGTAGCTCCCATCTCTTTACCCTCTCCCCACAACACCCCAAGGCTGTGTACCCTGCCTCCCCCTCCCGGCTTTCTTCCACTCCCAGGCCAGGGCAGGCCCTGGGGGCTCAATGGGGAGCACAGTACCAGTGACACTGAAGGATCTGGACCCCTGGAGTTGTACCTTCTCCTCCAGCAGCCCCAAGGCCACATGCATATAATTGGTGGCCCAAACAACTGTCCTGGTGGCCGCTACAGGTTGTTTAAAGTAGGACAGCAGGTCCATGGGGCTGGCCAAGCCACTGAGAAGGCCCTGCTTGATGCTGCCCAGAAGAGGAGAGAGGGCTGGAGAGAGGAAGTAGACCCACCCAGCAGAGCCCAACCCGGGCGGTGGACAGTCAGGACAATGTAAACAGAAGGATGGGTGGAAGGGAAGCTCTCTACAGACATGGCGCTGCCCCATGGTGCCCAGGGGCAGGGTGATGGGTGAGATGACCTTGGCTGAAGCCCTTCCTCCCTCATCGACCCTCCCAGGCCATGCAGGCCCCAGACCCAGGCCCACCTCTTCTGAGTCTGATTGTAGGCAGCATCCACCAGCAGCTTGGCCTCTGTTAGGCAGTCCCAAAGGACCAAGATCTCCACTGCCCTCGGGGAGGCTGTTCAGAGGGAAGGGAACTCAGGGTCCAGGAGAGCTGCAGGCCCCCCAGACCCGAGCGCTTCCCCCTCCATTGCCCTCCTCCTTGGCCATCCAAGGGTCTATTACCTGGGGCAGTGCCGTCACAGGACTGGGCCAGGATGAGTCTGGCTAGGACCCCTGCCAGGGCCAGGAACAGTTTCGTCTCCACAGTGAGACCCCCAGCCACAGCGTGGTAAGTGACCAACACCCACATCCTGCACACAGGTAGGGTCCCCTGTTTCCTTCTCACCCAGAGGACTGAGCTGACCTCTCCGCTCCTCCTGCTCTTCTCTGGAAGTAGCTGGGAAGGGACTTTTATATCCCGTCCTAGGGTGAGGGAGGGGAGATCTGGGCCCCAGAAGCTCAGCCCCTTGAGGTGGAGCTCTGGAACTTCCCTCATTTTCGGGGGAGTCTTGAGACTGAGACACCCCACCCCCACCCCATCCCTCGGAGTCTAGGGATATTCTTCTCTCCTACCCACTAACCCCATCCCCACCCTCTTTGCTATCAAGTTCACTCCCAGGGCCCAGAGCAGCGCCTGGGACACAGGCGTCACTCAGGGAGTATTTGCTGGATGATTGAGGAGCAGTGTGCCTCAGAAGAGGATTGGGCCAGGTCCTGCCGCTAACTAGTTTTATGGTCTTGGGCAAGTCACTTCCCCTCTCTGGGCCTCACTTCCCCATCTCTAAAATGAGACTTGGGCCAGATGATTGGAAAGGCTCCTCTCCTGCCTCAACAGGGCAGAAACTGGGTCTGCCTTACTGTTGTATCTCCTCACACCCCCCAGCACAAAGCCTGGCATTCAGTAGGTACTCAATAAATGTTTGTTGAGTCAATGAATGATGTAAGATCGATGATTCAGCCCCTCCCCCTTACTCCCTATCCCTACCAGCTCTCTCCAAGGTGCCAGGAGAGGGTGAGGTGATGGCTGAGGAAGGGCTTGGTAGTGAAAACTAAGGGGCTACCTCTACCCCCTTAGAAAACTAAGGGGGACCATTTGGGGGGCACAGTGAGATGTCACGGGGACAGCCCCCCATAGAGCGATGGTAGCAGGCCTCCATAAAAGTCAAGGGAGGAGCTGTTTTGGGCTCAGTGCTTCTCCCATGTTTTCTCGGTGCATATCAGTAGCAGGTTTGCACTGAGTAGTGGGTGTCAATTCTGACTTCTATGGGGCTTGACCAGCAGTAGCTTCCTTAGAGGAGTGACCTGGATAGTGGTCGGCTCTGTCACTACGTGTGTGACCTTGGCTGAGCCTCCATTTCCACATCTTAAGGGTAGAACGCCCCCCCC